ATCATTTAAGTACTTAGTAAATATGCTTTTTGTATTTAGTGAATCTTTTTTTAAAAAAAGCAAGAGAGAATCATAATATATTTAATACTGATAACAACATGAGAACTGTTAGAATCAGTTGATTTATTTTTTTAATCAACTCATTGGTCAGGTACATCACGTTCGTGTAAATGAGGCTTTAAGTCACAATTTAAAAAGTGTAACGGCTATAGTTCAACTACACTGTTAGCTATCAAACACAATGTTTCCACTTTATAATTTGTTAGTTGTATAGTCAATATCTATTTGCATTAGATTGTTTACAGTTTACTGTGGGTTAGTTGATTCAATTGTTTTCTTTTAAAAAATTGTTGACTTGATTTTAATGTGAAACAGACACTGACAAGTGAGTAAATTGCATCGTTTGTTTTATTATTTTGTTTTTTCATCGCTCATGCACAGTAGATTTTTTTGTTAATTCTGACACTTCTTAGTTTGCACTTAGTCTATTTTCATCAGTTGTGTATCAGTAGAAAAATGTAAAAAACAATTTGAAATAGTTTTATGATTTATGAATTACTATAAAATCCTCAGCGTTGATATCAGCAGTTTTATTTCCCAGTCATTTTCATCAGTCAGTCAGCTGCCGCGTTTAACTTGCCATAGTACATTAGCCTACAGAGATCAAATTGTCGATTCAAATCCTATAGTGTAGTAGAAGTAGTAGAAATATTAGTGTTCATCAAAAAGATTGGGAATCAAAGATATCATTCGAGAAGTATAATCCAGTGAAATAAATTTAAAGAAAGGAGGAAAAGCGTCGTCAAGAATTCGTAAGCCTATAACTTGAGAGAATGGGTAAATCTGCTCCATTGCAAACGATTTTGAACCATGTCATTCAAAATCTTTAACCATCGGTTACTATTGTCTCGTGGACCGTAAACTGACGATCTACACCTGTTAACATGACTCAATTCACTTTTCAGTAACTTCATGGATTTGTGCCATGTTTTGGTTTGGCCGCCCCTATCTTTCTTCCACCCAACTCCCCCCACACCACAAAACATTGCTCGTCGAGGCAATCGGCGGTTGGGCATAATTAACACATGTCTCAAAGTACACTACTTTAACTGATCGGCTATCCTTACCTAGTATCCTTTTCCTAACAACAGCATTGCATACTCGGTTGTCCCAGGATAAACGAGCAATGCTCTGAAGACATGGTTGAATACTAGTAACCTACGAATATTCTCTATTTTTAGTGGCTATGTTTCATATCCGTATAGTAGGATGGGGCTAACTGCTGATCAGTAAACTCGCCTATTGGTTAGCAGACGGATGGGTCGCCGCAAGTTGGCAAGAGCCAGTCGAACCCTCTGTATCCGTGTCGAAATATTGTTAGTCATCAGGACTGATGGGACTCCTAAAAAGTGAAGTGGTCAACACACTAAACTTTTCACCCTCTGTCACTAGTTCAGGTGGCCGACATTGCCAATCTTGAAATAACAGTCTGTCTTTGGATGGAGAAAATCGCATCCCGAACATGCTTGCATTGTTGCTAAAGTAGTCAAAATCCCACATTCTGTGAGCATCTTCACTAAACAGAACTATATCATGTTCATTTTCTATGTCAACAACTGTATCTCTTGATGGAAGGTCAACTCCTGAGAAATCAGACAATGAACGTGCTACCTCTATATGCATGTCGATGACAAAGTTAAATAAGAATGGAGAAAGTGGACCACACTGACGAACACCACTTGGAGTAATCAGTTACGATGACAGTTCGTCATAAGTTCTGACTCAAACAGTGGTTTTCGAGCAGAGAGTCTGTACAAGGTCCATGTACATTGTCCACGATCATTATAATGAAAAGCCACCTTAAGTTCCAGAAATACAATTATTGCCGGACGTCGAAATATTTGTTCTAGTTGGTTGATTTTTTTATTGATGATTTTTTCATTCTGAATTGAATGAGGAGGATAGACTCAACCACTGGTTGACTAAAGAATTTCATGTACCACATGAATAAATCATCTTGTTTACGAGCCATATAAAAGCCTAACTTCGTTTGTACTAGGTTCTACAAAATGCATATATTATGTCTTCTACTTTACGCTTATCTAGTCAGACGATCCTTTGATTTTATTGAACAGTTAAAATAATTTCTTATTGTTGATTACTACCTAGAGTATGTAAATTTTAATTAGTTCAATAATTTTTCTGAAATCCTTGTTTTGGAAAATAGAATTATATAAAAGTAATTGGTCGTAATCAATCAGAACGTCATCATACATCACTAATTACATCGAATTCAGCATTCAACTCTCCAATTATATCTCGTGCTCGTATCGGATCATGCCCGAATGCACCGGTTGCAGAAGTATCTCTTCCACCAAAACCACCTAGGAAATAATTTTTCTCACATTTATAGGTACGATTCATCATCATCTTACTTGATCGATATGAATAAAGCTGCATGGTTTGTTTTTCCACAGAATGAATCTGATACGAATTTTCAACTCCCTAATGCATGCTCTAATTTGAAAATGTTAATTTCTTTTTAACATGTAAATAAACTACTTATCTGAACTAAATATACTGCATACACAGGTATTATGATACGGTTGCGCATCCCCGCACATGAGTTTGAGCTGCACTTTAGGAATGGGTTCAAATCTGCAATCGAGAGATTGCTAAACGAGCCATAGCCACTTGCTTTCTCTCAGATATTTGCTTATCACTAGAAGAAGGATGGGTTTTTTTCAGTCATGAAGGTTGTTCCGTTTTAATTTTTGTTATTTTATTCAATAAATAATTCTTGATTGTGTCTTGTATAATACTCGTTTAACTAATTAACTAACTAACTAACCGAATTTCAGTAACTACAATTCACGGATTTTTATTCTTGACCAGCTAATTTATGAAAACTTTTACTGGTCGGTTCTAAACATTGTTATACATTTTCATTAAACTAATCCTTATATCATGAAGTTAAGAAATTGCTGAATACAATTCATTTAAAGTGGTGCTTTCTGTCCATTTTTTTACCAAGTAGATGATAGTGGTGATCTAACCGATTTATCGATTTATCCCAGTTCATATTCTCATTTTTGAGTTACACTTTATATTCAACAGCTAGTGGGTATACTAATCTATTCAAACCAAAGTAGTAATTCGAGTGAGATTTAAACCCTCAATCTAGTGATGGTAACTGCCTGTCTCGTTTAATGTCAGGCTACTTAACTATTTAAATTCTCAACCTATATCAATTAATACAGACAGATACACTGGTTTACGGGTTCAGAATTTAACTTATCATACTAATTTGTTGCTTATCATCTATCAGTCATGTGACCTTTTTTGAATTGTAACTTTGTTTTTGAACGTAGTCCTTGCGAGAATTAGTAGTTAGTTCTTTATGACACTGTTGCTAAAATAAATTAATTAGTCAACTGTGTATATATACTGATTGCAATGCATGGGGTAGATAGCTTTTAATTTCAATTAAGAATTTGTAGTAAATTGATTGATTGTATTTTTATTTGAGACTTTATCTTTCATTCTTTATATGACCACATGCATGTGTGTACATTCACTTGTAATTTATGATTGCTCTTATCGATCAATCAAATCAGTCAGTCAGTCGGTGGTGATACGTTGAAATTTTGGTATGACTGACTGACTGTTGTATCATAAATTGTTACATGTTTTTGTGGGGTTAATATTCTCTCCTTAGACATTGACTTTTTTTTCTATTGTTTAAATGCAATTTTAGTGATGTTTAATAATTGTAACAGAAGAATTTATTGCTATTTTTATCTGTTTTTTTCTTAACTATAACATGTAAACAAAAATGACATTGTATGAATTGTACATTTGATCATTAGGACAGAGTATATTCCTTTGACTTTTGTGCATTTTATGAATATTAACTCGTATAGATGGTGAAAATTTACTCAAATATTACTTAAATATCCAGATATGTGTTCACATATTGACGAAATTTAATACGATATACATTTGTGCCAGGTTAAGATGGCAGATCAATTGATGAAGTATTGAGACGAATGCCCAACCACCGACTGCCTTGACGAGCTATGTTTTGTGGTGTAGGAGTAGGTTGGAAGAAAGCTAGGGGCGGCCAAACTAAAACATGGCAGAAATCCATGAAATCATTGACGAGTGGACTTAGCCATGTCGGTAGGTGTCGAGTACCTGGTTAGGTTCTGCGGGACGAAAGTCACCTTGAACGACATGGCTTAAAATCGTTTACAACGGCGCAGGTGCATTCATTTATTGTGTTCTTTCAAATTCTAACCTGAATTCTTCGTTATCTCTATCTTTTCCTCCTAAAGTTATCTTACTGAACTATACTTCTTGAATAATATCTTCGAATCCTAATCTTCTCCATTACCGCTAATACTTTTACTACCTCTACTACTATGGGATTCGAACTGACAGTTGCGTCTCTGTGCTAATGTGGTATGGCAACCTGAACTGATGTACATACGTACGGAGTTCTACGTTGCAACTAATTGGTTGTGCCAGCCCACATGCCTCAGTATTTGTTACAGACCAAAGTATCTTTCATACTTGCTTGATGAGAAAGTACTGTTCGTGTACAATTATTAATCCAAATTTTTATTAGCATTCTATTAGAAGGAATCCAGTCTCTTTCATTAAATTTCAGTCTTTATTTTTTAAATCATATTTCGTTGTTATCGATTACTTTCCACAATTCTTATTGTATTCTATTGACTTTTCTATTTTTAAATGTTTGCTAGATCTCTTATATTTTATGCTTGCAATTTTTTTTTTATTAAATAAAGCTTAAAGTAAATCATTTGAAAAGAAGTCAATTACTTATTTATTATACAATGCTTACGCATGATTTTACGAACTGTACTAATGATATCATACTTTCAATGTTTGCATTTGTCAACTTATATCTATCTATCTCTTCATTGATATGCAATTGTTACAATAAAATTTACTTTTATTCTTTTCTCACCCACTAGGAAACAACTATAACTATACCACGTCGTATTTCGACTCGCCGTACTGCTCGACCTCAATCGACTCCACAATCAATCAAAACAATGAGCAGTGGAGATGCGATTGACTGAATTGTTGTTACCTCGTCCCCCGCCCTCTTCCGTTCCCATATAAAAAAAAATATGTATCACTTTTGGAGCCTGCACACATCTCTCTTCCAATTTAGAGATTGCCTTGTTACTTACTCTGTTAATAATATTCTTGATTAGGCTTTTCTTTTTTCTTGTAACACTACTCACCACTGTACAGCTGCTTCCTCACTTTAAACATGTTGAATGATTTTAATGTTGGGTTGTCTGGCTTGATGACTAATCTTGAGAGAGAGAAAGAGATGTAGATGTGAGGTTCATGCAAATCTTATATGCATTTCGTGTTGTCTATTGTTTTTTTTCCCAATAAAAAAAATTCTACAAAATTGTTTGTTATTTCATAAATGTCAATTTTCATTGAAATAACCTTCAGTTGTTGTTTTGTTGTTTTGTTTTTTTATCGTTTCGTATCCCCTCTTCGGTTTTTTTCTTTTTTTATCCAAAGACGACAGACATCACAAGCTCTCATACACCTGATCAAAAAATAAACAACACAAAGTTGGGTTTTTGTTTGTTTTTTTTTCTAAACCAGCAAAAATTTTCTGATTCCTGAATTGTTTTTTTCTTCTACCGTTGTCGGTGGTTGATGTGTGTATGGTGTATGCCAGGAGAACACGAACTGATTTTATTTGCCTTTATCTTTTGTGATAATCAAATCATCTATAAGAAAAAAGCGATAATCTCTCGATAACTTTCAAAAGACTACTCACAATCTGATTGTAAAGAATATTTATATATATATATATATATATATATATATATATATATATATATATATATATATATATATATATATATCAATTAAAATGAACTTGAAAACACTATTCATATTAGAGTAGGTATCAAACATTAATTCGATTGATGATTAAGGCGGCTTCGGTTTTGTCTTGGCTCCAAGTGTGTGTGTGTGTTTTTTTTTTCAATGCACTTAAAACAAATACAACAGCATAACGGTAATAATAATAGTTGGGCCTTTTGAACGTTATTATTATTATTATTATTATAAGAGTAAATTACTTTTGGATAGTGTTTTTTCCTCTTACAGTCTGTTTGTATTTATTGCACATTGGGTGTTTTTGTTGACTAGACAGACACATGGACATATACTGCTCTCTGTATAATGTGTAGTAGTAGTATGTATATAGGAAATAAGGTGATCACATCGACATTCTCTTTCTCCCTCTTTCTCTCTCTCACTCTCTCTCTCTATATATATATATAAATATATGATCATCATTTTCAAAGTAACATTAAAACGTTTTTAGCCTATTTTCACCTCTGTTCCACTAGTTTCGTTGCAAATATCATACTCCTCATTATCTGATTATTATTAAACAATTGTATATCATATGAATGATAGAGAATTAACTTTTAATTCTTTAAAATATATATAAGTAAATTAACTAACTAACTATATTAGGGCATTGATATTTTTTTTTCACATGAAGCCTTTCTTCCGAATTGTTTTTCTTTATTAAATGTGTATACATGTTATATTTTATTGTGTTATGTTATGTTATTGTAAACATTGACGCTAAACATTATTGAATTTATCAAATGACACAAATGTGTAAAACTCTACAACAAAATGTCTTGATAAATAATTCTATGATTTTTAAACATTGAAGTATTACTATTATTATTATTAATATTATTATTCATCAAAAGACTATATAATGTTCACAAGTTTGGTTTTTTACTGAGATGTTAAAATATATATTTTTCTTGAAAGTTTGGGGTATTGTTGTGTTTTTTTTCTGTGCAAAAGGTGATTGATGGTCGATTTTTTTTAAGTGGATAGCATAAGACGATGTCAAGCATTATATCTTCTCTACAATAAGGATCAATATATATGTACGTGAATGATAGTGAAGTACGAATTACCAACAATGTCAATATCTTATTGGTCACAATCAAGTCAATCCTACACCCCCTAAGATCTCTCTTATCTCCAAGACAAACTCTTCTCACATTCCTTTTATCACCCCGTACCGCTAATGCAAATGATTTGAGTTCCCGAAACGTTATTCCTGGTCTCCTGAAACCCCATTCAAAACTACATGTTGGAGCATTTAATGTTAGGACCTTGTATCAAACAATCTTCCTTAGCTAGGACTTTGGAATCTCTCTCCATCGTTGTATACTGCGTCTGGGAAACGCGCATACAGGATCCTAATAAAATCATTAATTTGATTTCATCTTGTCACAATAAAGAACCAACTCGATTTACTGTTCGTGTATCTGTTACCCCTGATGCTACTTCTCGGGGTCTCGCTGGTGTAGGTATAGCCTTGAGTCGTAGGGCAGAACTAGCTCCTAGTCTGGGTCCCAGTAGATGGCCACTTGTGCGTGGTCCGACTAAACGGGAAAGTAAGGACTCGAAAAGATGAGGACACTCGTCTTTGCCTCTTCGTCGTGTCGTCCTACGCTCCAACTGACTGCAGTTCAGACGAGGTGAAAGATGAGTTTTACAGAAAGCTTTCGGACCTCCTCCAAAAAGCTAGGCGCTCTGATATAGTAATAATGGCTGGTGACTTTAATGCTCAAGTAGGTAGACTAAGTGAAAATGAAAGACACCTAGGTGGATGTTATGGTGTCGCGGCTCACAGAACAGGCGGCAATGGCGACCGTCTGTTGCAAGTATGCTCAGATAACCGCCTATTTCTAGCAGACACTAACTTTAAGCGTAACTAAAAACATCATTAGATCTAGCGACCCCTAAAGTCGTCACAACACTGGACCCAACTAGATTACATCGCCATCAGCCACCGGTGGAGGACTGTCGCTCGTTCTGGAGCACATGTTTAGATTCAGATCATGCTCTAGTGCGAGCACGTATTTATCTGAGACTTACCGGACGTAGGAAAGATACCACAGAGAATCCTGTTAGGGTTCTACTTAATGATAGCACTGCTATGAATATATTTCAAGAGTAACTAGAAAGAGGGTTATGCAACCATGTAAGTGATTCCCACCCGTAAGCAGCTTGGAATGATATCAAAAAGGCTATGGAAAAAGCAGTGATGCCTGCTAATAAGGTAAACCATAAGACTAGTAATAACCCGTGGATCTCAGCAGCATCCACCGAACTGATGGACGCTCATAAAGTCATCCCACCTGGCTCTGAATGTGACGAAGAGGGAAGTCAGCTTGGGCGCAGGCTGATAAAAACCCTACGCAATGATCGCGAGCTGTGGTGGGTGACGAAAGCGAATGATATGGGAAAGGTAATGGCGATAGGCAACAGTAGACTATTCAGACTCATCAAAAAATCCGACTGTAAGTGAGACTATCTCAGAAAAGGATGGTCTTATTATTCATTCGCAAACCAGGAGATTGAATTGATGGGCAAAACACTTTAAGGATCGGTTAAATTAGCCTTCAGCCACACTTCCGTTGTCCACGACTTCCAGTTATCCTGAATTTAATTAATATTATCAATATATGATGGCTGTGACAAATCTATAGCTCCCTGTGGAACGCATAAATCTAGTTTGAGGTTTTCAATATTTACTGTACGTAGCAGATTTACGTTTTTTCGTTGTCGATTATTTGCTCACTGCCGATTTAATACCGACCTGTTGCCCGACCTAGTGTTGTAGTACATTTTACTTCCAAGTTTTTTGAAACATCCTACGAAATACAAAGTAATGTAATTTCAAATTGAATGAAAATACTAAATTAATTAATCACAGAATAATTTCGGCAATTAAGATTATTTATCCAGTTATATCCAACTGCTTTTATCATTTCGTTTGTATGTTCCAAACCACATACATTATATGCGTAGAGAGGAAACTGCATTGTTGAATCAATGACTGGAAAAAACAGTTCTATGGAATTAAATTAGAAACGTATCAACTCCCTGAGTATATTTAAGACAAAATTAAGTAACAGTACAAAAACTAAGAAATATCTATCGACATACATATTTCAATGTGGTATGGCAGCTTGCACTGATGTACGTACGTACGAAGTTCTGCGTTGCTGCTGATTGATTGATATACACATTTCATACGACGACCTGTTGTGTTCATGCAACATGTGATTATGATGTATATTTTCTACAATTTACTGCCATAATTCCATGACTTCTCTGTAAGTTTAACTAAATATCACATTTTTATGAAGTATGGAGTCAAAGTTCTGTTCAGGTATGAGACGTCCATGCTCCAGTAAGTGATAAATGCAGTGGATAATAAGCTCCTGACTGAACTATAGAACTAGCCAATGTTACTGATCAACCCATCAAGTTAATCACTGATAATTATAAAATTTACGAACTTTGGAAATCTGCTAGTCATTCTGCTTCTTCATTGATTATCGCACAAAGACTGCCAATTCAAACTGATCTAAGAGGAGGATATGTATTTCTTATTTTCTAAAGTACTAACTTGTAGGTTACAATTTTTGAGTGCACTTTTCAATTTAGTTTTCTGAACAGAAAACCATTTACCGAAAAGGTCTTAAAACATATGCTCGTTTTTGTTTACTTATCGGATCTATGAGTATATTAGATCACTTTGTTGATGAACAAGCTCTCAAACTTGTATTCTCAAAGATAAGCCTATCAATTATCCAGGTATTATCCTTTAATATTCATTTTGAATTGGCAGTGTATATAGTCACTGTTGTGGATACTGTGAGAGTTCAACAATGATAGGAAAGAGATCAACACTACTAGTGACATCATTCGAAATGTTGCTTCAAGACTGGCACCTAAACTAGTGATAGGGAAAGAAGGAGTTGAGCGTGTTGACCACACCACTTATCCTGAGAGTCTCTTCAGTGCTGATGACCTAGTGACTGAATATCAGCACGGATACAGAAATCTCGAATGGCTTTTGCCAACCTGCGTCATTTATGGCGTAGGCGAGATATCCGTTTGCTGACTAAAGGACGAGTGTACTGCACAGCAGTTCGCTTCGTCCAACTTTATGGCTGTGAAACATGGCCAGTCAAGGTAGAAAATATTCGTAGGTTGCCTGTTTTCCATCACAGTTGTCTCCGAAGCATTAGGTCAATAGATGAAGTATTGAAACTTCGTCGATTGAGGTGGTTGAGATATGTGTTGCGTATGCCTAACCACCGACCGCTTAGTTGAGCTATGTTTTGCGGTGTATTAATAGGTTGGAATAAAGCTAGGGGCGGCCAGACTAAAACATGGTTCAAATCTATGAAGTAACTGACCAGTGGACTGAGTCATGTTGGTAGATATAGGCTACCCGGTTTAGGTCCGCGAGACTATAGTAATCGATGGTTAGAGACCTTGAATGACATGGCTGAAAACCGTTTGCAATGGTGCAGGTGCAATCATTCTTTGTGTTCTCTCAAATCGTAACCTTCTGAATTCCTCAAACCTTTATATTTTTCTTTTTAAGTTTATTTCACTAGATTCTACTTCTTGGATAATATTCTCGAACCCTAATCTTTCTGATTAATTCCAATACTTTTACTACCCCTACTACTACGGGATTTGAATTGACAATAACATCTCTGTACTAATGTGTTGTGGCAAGTTGAACTGATTTACGTGCGTACGTACGAAGTTCTACGTTGCTGCTGATTGATCGATATGTCATCATTGGATTCCAACTAAATGCGTTAAAAATGATATATTTGTCATGTGAT